CCGACAAGGTTTCGCGTTTTCCTTTTGCCTCGGGCTTGTGATATTTCAAGGCGTTGTCGTCCCATCCAAAGGGTATGCACGTTCTCAGATAGGAAGCATCGAGGCCGTGATGGCCTTGGTGTTCACTGGACAGCTCGCGCCGCCGCGTATCCCAAGTCTTTGTGTGATGCGATGGCCGATGTGTTCGTCGACGCCGCTTTTGATCGCGTCTTCACGCAGAAACTCCACTCCTTCCCCTTCCGCCCACCCAATCCCAACGGTTGACGTGCGTCGCAGAACCGTGTGCGATTTTTGAAAGCCTCGAAGTCTGGCAATGTTGTTGGATTCAGTCTTGTATTCGATCGCTGCAGCCGCCGGTCTCGCTGCTCCTGATTGGGTCTCGCACCACATGCGGATGACATATATCATAGCTCTGAAATTAAGGAGGGGTGGGGAACCTCCGGTTTGTCCAGCGGACGTGTAGGAGGTACAACGCAGAAACCGTTCTATTTCGCTCAAGCTTCCCGCCCAATTTCTCGGATGAGCAGAGACCCATTCCTGCTCACGGCGGGCCGCAAACGCAGTCTTGAGCGGCCATGTTGTTGTCTTATACATATAACGGCGCACCGGGTCCGGGGTCCCGGGGCGGGAACCCGACCACAAATGTGCACCGGGGGGCCCGGAGGCTCGTCGGGGCTTGCCGGAGGCCTCCCCGGTCAGACAAGACGGCCCCAGGAGCGCCCAAGACGGCCCAAGAAACTTCCAAGAGGCCTCCAAGAGGGCTCCGAGATGCTGAAGATGGCCTCCAGACGTCCAAGGACGCCCCCAAGAGGCCCCAAGAAGCCTCCAACATGCGTCCCAAGAGGGCCCCTAGACGCAAAAATTGGCCCATTCCCTTCGTAAAACGTACATTTTTCAACAAAGTTGCTTTTTGGGCTTTCCGACGTTACAGGACGGCCCAAGAGGCGCCCAAGACCGCCCCAAGACGGCCCAAGAAGCTTCCAAGAGGGCCCCAGGACAGCCCAATAGGGCCCCAAGACGGCCCAAGAGGCGCCCAAGATGGCCCAAGAGGGCCCCAAGACGGGCCCAAGAGGGGGCCCAGAGGGGGACCACGAACCGCAAGCTCGAGCCTTCCGCCCCAAGAGGCCGCCAGGAGGCCCCCAGGAGGCCCCTCAAGAGGCCCCAGGAGACCCCAGACGTCCAAGGACGCCCCCAAGACGCCCCAAGAAGCCTCCAACATGCGTCCCAAGAGGGCCCCTAGACGCAAAAAGTTGGCCCATTCCCTTCGTAAAACGTACATTTTCAACAAAGTCGCCTTTTGGGCTTTCCGACGTTACAGGACGGCCCAAGAGGCGCCCAAGACCGCCCCAAGACGGCCCAAGAAGCTTCCAAGAGGGCCCCAGGACAGCCCAAGAGGGCCCCAAGACGGCCCAAGAGGCGCCCAAGATGGCCCAAGAGGGCCCCAAGACGGGCCCAAGAGGGGGCCCAGAGGGGGACCACGAACCGCAAGCTCGAGCCTTCCGCCCCAAGAGGCCGCCAGGAGGCCCCCAGGAGGCCCCTCAAGAGGCCCCAGGAGACCCCAGACGTCCAACGGACGCCCCCAAGAGGCCCCAAGAAGCCTCCAACATGCGGCCCAAGAGGGCCCCTAGACGCAAAAAGTTTGCCCATTCCCTTCGTAAAACGTACATGTTCAACAAATGTCTTTTGGGCTTTCCGACGTTACAGGACGGCCCAAGAGGCGCCCAAGACCGCCCCCAAACGGCCCAAGAAGCTTCCAAGAGGGCCCCAGGACAGCCCAATAGGGCCCCAAGACGGCCCAAGAGGCGCCCAAGATGGCCCAAGAGGGCCCCAAGACGGGCCCAAGAGGGGGCCCAGAGGGGGACCACGAACCGCAAGCTCGAGCCTTCCGCCCCAAGAGGCCGCCAGGAGGCCCCCAGGAGGCCCCTCAAGAGGCCCCAGGAGACCCCAGACGTCCAAGGACGCCCCCAAGACGCCCCAAGAAGCCTCCAACATGCGTCCCAAGAGGGCCCCCAGACGCAAAAATTGGCCCATTCCCTTTGTAAAACGTACATGTTCAACAAAGTTGTCTTTTGGGGTTTCCGCGCCCAAGATGGCCCAAGAGGGCCCCAAGACGGGCCCAAGAGGGGGCCCAGAGGGGGACCACGAACCGCAAGCTCGAGCCTTCCGCCCCAAGAGGCCGCCAGGAGGCCCCCAGGAGGCCCCTCAAGAGGCCCCAGGAGACCCCAGACGTCCAAGGACGCCCCCACGACGCTTCGCGTCACCAATTTCTTCTCACAACGATTCCTGGGTCTGTGACTCGACAGAACCTAAGCGCGCGCGAAGCGCGCGCGTGGTTCTAGTATACATATAACGGCGCACCGGGCTCGGGGGCCGAGGGCCGGAACTTCGACCGCAAATGTGGGGGCCGGGGCCCGGGCCCGCCTCTGGGAGACTCAAAATCGCCCCGGGGAGCCCTGAGACAGCAATCCTGGCGGCCCCAGGCGGTTTCGAGACACCCCCAAGACGCAGTGCAGGGGTCTTTGGCGACGCGCGATGCGTTTTAAACTGCCCCGGAGGCCCCCCAAACGCCCCAAGAGGCCTTTAAGATGCCGCCCAATAGCGCCCCGAAAGGGCAAAATCGTTGATTTTCATTTTTTTGTCAATGTTGTTTGCGCTCCAAGACGGCCCAAGAGGCCCCCAAGGGGGCCCCAAGACGGCCCAAGAGAGCCCCGAGACGGCCCCAGAGCCGCCCAAGACAGCGCAAGAGGGTCCCAAGAAGGCCCCAAGATGGGCCCAAGAGAGGGAACGCGAACTGAAAAATCAAGCTCTCCGCCCCAGAAGGCCCCGAAGAGGCCCCAAAATGCCCCCAGGAAACCTCGAAGAGGCCCCACGAGGCCCCCAAAAGGCCCCAAGAGGTCCCCAAGAAACCCAAAAGAGGTTCCAAGAGGCCCCAAGACGGCACCCAAACGGTTTCAACACTTTTTGTAGGAGGCCCCCGAAGACATGCCAATAAAGTCACATGACGATTTCAAGAACCAGTCCAGGATGCTCCGAGGAGGCCCCAATAAGTTAGCTATAACTTGAGCGCGCGCGAAGCGCGCGCGATGGTTCTAGTCAGTCGTGTTTTCGATCGCTGCTGCCGCCGGCCTCGGTGCTCTCGATCGGGTCTCACACCACATGCGGATGACATATATCATAGCTCTGAGAGTTAAGGACGGGTGGGGAACCTCCTGAGGATGAGGATGATGATGATGACGACGATGATGATGATGATGATGATGATGATGATGATGATGATGATGATGATGCTGATGATGATGATGATGATGATGATGATGATGATGATGATGATGATGATGATGATGATGATTGATGATGATGATGATGATGATGATGATGATGATGATGATGATGATGATGATGATGATGATGATGATGATGATGATGATGATGATGATGATGATGATGATGATGATGATGATGGTGGTGGTGGTGGTGGTGGTGATGATGATCATGATGCTGATTGTGATGATGATGCTGGTGATGCTGATGATGCTGATGATGAGGAGGAGGAATTATATGATATTCATATTTGTTATGATAATATCAGTGGTTTCATTCGTATCAGTAACACTAAGTTTATATTCAGACGAATAATTCTGCGAACCATAATAACAATATTCAGACGGATTAGTCATTTGAGTGATAGCATTTATCTTTATGACATGAAACTATGAAACTATGAATAATATTAGGGGGAGGAGTATGAGGAGGGGGAGGAGGAGTGGCCATGGAGGAGAAAAGGCGTGTATGTGTTCGGAATGCGAGGTAGACCAGCGGGTTCAGGAAGCGAGGCGCGGGGCAGGACAATGGACAGACCGGTGGGCAGGAGGGCGGGTGGGCAGGAGGGCGCAGTGGTGACATGAGTTGGGGTTGAGTAGGAGGGAAGTAAGGGCGAACGTGGCGTCAGAAATCCACGCGCACAAGTGAGGCGGATCATCCCACCTCGCAGCACCGAACCTGTAAGACACGACCGTCACCAGCACCCGCCCAGCAGGCGACTCACCGATGATTGGCAAGGGACGTCACCGGGGAAAAGGGCCGCATGGGATACCCGTCGCCTGCCGAGGGTGGAGACATGGTCTTCCCGTCCCCTCCGCCCAGTAGCTAGCAGCCCAGAAGGCTACTGGACAGTTAGGCCCCGGGTGCACCAGAATACGCCGAAACAGGCCCCAGCGAACATCGCGGTGGCGTCCAGTTTTGCCCCGGGCCCTTGCGCGCAATGCGCGCGGCGGAATGGACCTCGTGCGCAAGCGCCAGAACAGATATCAGAGGGCTTGCGTTGGGAGAGTTACGGGCCGAGGCGAAAACGCAACTGGCTTGAGGGCGACTGCGGAGATTCGTCGACCCCGCCCCCGTCTCCCCTTGCAGCGGGTGTCATCACCGTTGTTTTTAAAGTTTCAGCAGGTCCTCTGCTCTGGATTTGGGAATGCTGGCGCTCGGCCTGCTGGCGCTGGGCCTGGCCTCCCGCCGCCGCCTGCTGGCGCTGGGCCTCGCGCTCCTCGGCCCCGAGGGCCTTGGGTTCCGCGGTCGACTCCAGCCGTGCGCCGGGAGCACGACCGAAAGCGGGACCCAGGCTCCACCGTCCCCAGCTCCTGGGGCCGCTGCTGCAGCCAGTGGCTGGCGGCCGCTGCGCCAGCGCGGGTATCCAGCGAACCGGGGGAGTGGCTAAGGAGGGAGATGAGGAGGAGGGGAGCAGGGGCATGGATGATGAGGATGAGGAGGGAGGATGAGGAGGGAGGATGAGGAAGGAGGAGGATGGATGAGGAGGAGGAGGAGGAGGAGGAGGAGGAGGGGGAGGAGGAGGAGGAGGAGGAGGAGGAGGAGGAGGTGGAGGAAACGGAGCAGGTGGGGGGAGTAGCTTGGGGGAGGGAGAAGAACGCATCGACGGCAACAGGGGTCAGCCATACCGGGAAGAAGGGGGCTGTAGACGGGGACGCCCTCGTCGGTGGCGCCACCGCCTTCTTCGGAAGCAGGTGCAAGAGGCTCGCGTTGAACTCGAACCCCAGGGATGCGAGCTCGTCCAACGCATTCTCATCAATGAGGCCCTGGAACGCGCCAAACAAGAGGTCCACCGACAGCTCCCCGAAGAGACGCCATATGCGAAATGAGATGCCGTCGGGCCCAGGGGCTGTGTTGCCGGTGATCTTGATGGCCCGTTTGATATGGCGTCGCCGCAGCCGGAGGCCTTGGGGCAGCCCCGGGAGCGGGCGGTCGGGGCCTCGAGCAGCCTGTTCTTGGTCAACCCATTCATGGAGACGTGCCGAATTGTGCCCCCGACGTGTGAACACGCCCTTCCAATGCGACCGGAGGATGGCGACCATCTTCTCCGCGCTCGTTTGCACGACGCCCTGGGCGTCCACTACTGCAGAGATCCCCACCGAACGGCCTGGTGCGAGGCGGCGAAGCAGTCGAGCGCCGCGTTTGCGAGTACGTCGGGCGCGGCCCTCACCAACGTCGGTCTGTGCGGGGGCCGCCTCAGTCCGAGCTGCGGCGAGCTCGTCCAGGGCGTGGTCCCGGGCCAACTCGGCAGCATGCTGTCGTAGGTTCCGTAGCCGGACAGAGAGGTTGCCAGTGAAGTCGTAAGGATTGGTGACCAACTCGCGAAGGTGGGGATAGCGGACCAAGCATTTGGACAACTCCCCCGGAAATCCACACTCCATCGAGCGGATGAGTTTCATGGTGAGGCCCAGCCTGTCCTCCAAGCACTCTGCCGGGGGAGGGGCCGAGCTGTCGGCAGACAGCCGAAAAGCGACATTCCTTACCGCCTCCTTGAAGATCTGGAGCTTCGCTAGGCCAGACGCCGAGGGGGAGGTCGCCAATTGCTCCTCGTACTCCAGCGCTACGCGACGCTTGAAATCAGGATGCTGCACCGCGAAGTCGGGAATGCGGCGGGTGGCCGAAGCGTGCCGGTGGGGGGCCGTGCGAGAAACCAGAACGGGACGATGAGCAGACAGATGCGGCTTCCACTCCAGCGCGACCGCGCGCAGTTGACGGTCCAGCTGGTCCGTCATGTCGCGGTTCATGTACACCCGGTCCAGTCTGGCCCGAGAGCTCGTCGAGGCATGGGCGGGCTCGGGTTGATACATCTCTGCGAGCCCGTGCGGGGAGCCGACTAAGTTCTGAAAGCGTCGCTCCTCGCCCGCATCCCTCCGTCCAGTGCGCGAGCCCGAGGTCGTCGACATGCGATCGAAGTCGTCCGCCACGTAGTTCAAGTCGCCACCTAAGACCGTCAAGGCTGACGACCGCGGGGCGATCGCACGGGAGAGCCGTGCGCGGAGGCAGCCACGGAGGTCGCGAAACGAAGGAGACCGCTCCACCTCGGCCGCCGAGAAACCATAGTAGTCGGTGTCCGTGAGCTGGTTGCCAGTCGGGAAGTACACCACGATCAAATCCAAGGCCCCCTCGGGGCCGCGCAGCTCCAACTTGGCCGCCCTGCCCGGGAGGACGACCTTCCACGCGGGGTTCGGATCAACTTTTGGTTAGCAACTCGTCCTTCACAATGATACCAACCCCCGCATGGGCCGTCGTAGCGCCTGCCGACCACCACGCCGACGTCCCCGCGGGCGGGCGCCAGACCGCGTGGGCACCTGTAGTCCCGTGGGCCTCCGTGATCATCACCACCAACGCGCGGTCGAGGAGCGAGCGCACGTGCGAGGACTTGATATCCTGCCGGCCTGGCGTGACCGCGAAGAAGGCTTGCGAATTCCACGCGATGACTGAGAGGTCCCCTCTGAATTGCCCAAGTCGCCTCGCCGGGCTAGCCGTGGGCGCTGGCGGGATGGTTTGAAGCAGTGGTGACGCTGCAATGCTGGGGGTCGCGCCAAGAGCGCGGCGCAGCCGGAGGGCGTAGTACATGCTGGGCGGAATGTCGTCGCTGGGCGAGCCCAGGTAGCGGTGCCAGACGTCGCAACCAGGGAGAAGAGGCCGGAGAGGAGGCAGGAGCCGATCAGGAGGAAAACGCACGCCGTCGATAACATGCAAAGAATTCGAACAACTCGAAAAACTCGTCGTGGACGTGCGCGGACCAGGAGCAGTCACATCAGGTGGGCCTCGCTCGCTCGGCGCGGCGGCTGCCGCGCGGAGAGAGAAGGCGACCTCAATGAGCCAACGCTCGGCCCCGTCCGAAGACGTGCACCGAATTTATCCCCAGCGCTCCAGCTGGGAGATGTCCCCGTAGTCGTCGGAGCGTGGGGGGACTAGATCCACGTCCCTCTCCCGTTTCCCGTCCCGCGCAGCGCATTGAGCGCATCGTTCTGGATCTCTACCCGAACCTGGTCATTGCCGACCCTGATAATCTGGCCGTGCAGCCCCGCGTGCAGCTTGCGCACCTCTTCCCGGTCCCGTAGAAGGGCGCGGACGCGTCCGGGTGGAGCGTACACGTCGCGCGCCTGGAGGGAGAAGTATTCCCCAGGGCGCAGCCCATGCGTCTCGACGGCCTCCCGGAGCACCACGCCGAGTTGGGACGACGCGTGATCCATGAGCATCGCCAGCACCCTGGAGTTCTGGGTGCCCAATTCGCCATTGATCACGATCTCCGTCATGTGCTCCATGCCTCCTCCTGATTGCGCCTTCCGGCGGGTGGCCGCCAGCGCTGCGGTGGTCGCTGAGGGGGAGGCCACGGGGCGGCCGCCGTAGGCCGAAGGGCGCCAGCGAAGACGGGAGGCGGAAACCTCGGGATCGTGTTTGAGAACTTGATCCATCACACTTCCCCAGGTGTCCGACGTAGCATGTGACAAGACTAAAGCCTTGGTGCGCGACAAGAACACCATCTGCACGCAGAGGGGCCAGAAGCGCGGGATGCAGTCCGGGTGCGTGAACTCCAAGATCATGGCCTCCCTATTGTCGTAGATTGTGTTCAGCGCGAAATACGCTGTTGGCGGCAGGGGCGACACGCGGATGCGGTTCAGGATGACGATGGCGTCCAGCTCGGCGCACTGCGTGGCGCCACGCGCCCCTTGAATGTGGTTAACACGGATAATAGGATTATAGCAAGCGCGGTTCGGCTCATGCTGGAACCAGCCGTGGCCCCCCAGATCACGCGGGACCAACGCGGCTTCCTGCACGGGAGGTCTATGCTGGCTAACGTCATCGACGTGGAAGAAGGCATGTGCAATGACATTCTCACGCCTCGGGCGTCGCTCGCGTGCTTCATGGACTTCGAGGCGGCCTTCCCCTCCGTTGAGCACGGCTTTCTGCTGGAGCTCTTCGCGGCGGCGGGCTGGCCGGAGTGGTTGCTGCGGTACCTCCGGGTCTTGTACAGCAGTAACGTGTGTTTGATTGCGTTCGGCGGCGCGCTCTTCGAGGGTTTCGTGGCCACGCGGGGCGTTCGCCAGGGATGCCCATTATCCCCTCTACTGCTCGCTGCCTCCTCGGATTTGTTGCTTGAGCGGGTGGGTCGCCTTTGCCATGCTCTTCGACGCGCGTATGCGGACGACTCACGACGGGCTTACCTCCTTGGCCACGTTGGCAGCGATTTTCGAGGAATTCGCCAGCATCTCCGGCCTCGGCCTCAGTATTGGGAAAACGGTTGTAGTTCCCCTTTTCGACGTGGATTTTGAGGACCTGCGAGCTGCCATCGCGGAGCGCGTCCCTTGGTGGGGTCAGATTGGGATCGCCCGCCACGCGCGGTATCTCGGCTTCGAGGTTGGACCCGGCCGCGGCGAACTCTCCTGGATTACCCCGCTGAAAAAGTTCCGCGAGCGCGTGGAGATCTGGAAAGCGATCGGCGCTGGGCTCCGCCTGACGGTGGAAGCGTACCGGGTGTACGTCCTTAGCGTGCTCATGTTCGTCGCTCAGCTGGAGCGCGTCCCAGCGACGGTGCTTGCGGAAGAATCGCGAGCACTCCTCCGGCTCGTGCCTGGGCCGGCGGGTTGGGTGACCCCGGGCGTTCTGCAATCGCTCGTGGACTTGGGCATGGGCTGCGAGTTCAGTTCCCTGGCCTCGCGGGCGACTGCTGCTGCCGCACGGACCTGCCACTACGAGGACCGTGTCAATGGGGGCCTTCGAGCGCGGGACCGAGCCGAGCGGCTGCTCGGCCGATTGAGCAGCGCGGGTGCGGACGGTGTCAGCCTTGGTGTTATAGCATGGGTTGGGAGCTGCTCGCTGCGTAGGCTCGTCGAGGCGGCGGACGCGGTGACGGCAGCCGAACGATCCAGAGGGGTTGCTGTCTCCCCTCTGGAAGCCGACCCGCTCGACGAGGACGCGAGGAAGACCTGGCAACGGCGGGCCGTGGCGGTCTTGCGCCCGCGCGTGTCCGCGGCGCTCCCGCACGCTCGTCAACGGCTTGACCGATGGCCTCTTGCTATTCCTGCCGGTCGCCGCCCCGCCAGAATGATGCCAGTTTGCAGGGTCCTCACCGCCAGAGGCACGCCGAGGATCGGCGCGGCCTTCATTCGGACTGCCTTCAACGGCTGGTGCACTGCTCGCCGCTTCCAGGGGCGCGCCGGCTGTCTTCTGGGGTGCGGGCGTGGGAACGACAGCATCGAGCACTACAGCGATTGCGCGACGTACCACGGCTTCTGCCGCCAGCACGCGGGGCTGGCGGCCCCAGCCGCGGAGGACAGGTTGGCTTGCTTCCTGAACTTGGGGCATTCGACTCTGATTCGGCGTGACGCTGGTTGCTCCAGAGAGCGCGCAACGATGCTGCGCGCTCTCACCGTGTATGCCGCTTATCGTGTACAGGCGTCAGTTCGGTCAGGGTCATTGCAAGTCGCCGAGGCCGCGGGCGCTCTGCCGGCCATGCTGCGGGAGGGTGCCCGCGGGCACCCTGCCCTGGAGTCACTGCTGCGCGTGGCGCGGCGCCGGCAGCGCGAGCAGTAGTCAGATTTGTCGCTTCTTTCTTCCTCTTCTCCCTCTTTCGTCACGCCGTCAACCGAAGACTTTACACTTTACTTCAGGAATGGCTTCGCGCCCAGGCCGCCATACGTGCGTGGCTTTTGTGGCCCGTCGGATATTTTCTGGCGTGCATGTTCGCAGGCCCGATGTTGGCTCTTTCCTCTTCTGTGTTTCGGGTGGCCCTGTAGGGTAATCCACAGGTGTCGCCGCTGCACTTCTTTTCTCCTCCGCCTCTCTCCCCCTCTCCTCCTTTCGCGTCGTCCTCCTCTCCTCGTCTCCCTCCTCGCGCCTAACGAAAAACCCGGTCTTAAGTAACATTTCCGCACTGGCCCCCGGGCAATAATTGTCACGGGTGCTCTTTCGCTGTCCCTGCCACGTGCCTGTTAACGTCTCCGTATTCTTTGGTGGTCGGCTGCCCACGCAGCCCGGCTTCCCTCCATGTCCGGGGGCAGTGGCCATGCGAAGTTGTCGAGGCATCCAGCCGCCGTGGTCGACGTGAGGAAACAAAAAATATCGGGAAGAAGGGGGAGGCGGAGGAGGGAGGAGGAAGGAAGGAGGAGGCCCACCGACCTCGGCTGTTGCCCTCCGCCTCCGATTCGCCGCGGCCGCGCCTCGCCTTGCCGCGGGGGGCAATATCTTTGCCTCCCGCCCCGCCGAGGAGTACCTGCTCACGTGGAACGGCTCCACCGCGGGCGGGGCTCAGAGAGCGGAGGTGGAGTTGGCAGGGGGGGGAGCCCCTTTTCCCTTTCTTCCTCCCCTTTCCTCCCTTTTCCTCCTGCTCCTCCTCCGCTTCCTCCTCCCTTCTTTCTCCCTTCCATCTCCTTCTCCTCTTCCTCCCTCCCTCTTATGCCACTTCTCGTCGTCGTCTTCGTCGTCTTCGTCGTCGTCGTCGTGGTCGTCCGTCCCCTTCTTCCCAGGCTCGACCTTCGACGGCGACGACAACGCCGTGCGGATCTTCCGGGTCCTTACTGGCGAGCTGGTGAGGAAGTGTCGGACTCCAGCTATGGCGCCATTGGGTGCCCCCCCTCGCTCCCCTGCCCCGTGAGGATGTGGAGGAGTGGGACGAGGAGGTGGGGTGTGATAAGTGGGTCAAGCGTTTCCTCCTCCTCCTTCCTTGCCTTCTTCTCCTCTCTGCTCCCCTGTATCCCCACCACAAAGAGGCGTGATAATTTGACTAACTTTATCCCGAGTGCTCCTCCCTCGCTTGAAGGCGCATTTGTGGACTCTGGTGGCGAGGGACGCTCAGACAGATCAGGCTGTGCGGACGTCAGCGGTGCCCTCTGTCGAAGCGCTCCATATTTCTCTCCTGCGTCTCCTGCTCGTCTTCCTTCTCTTCCCCCTCTTCGTGCTACGTCCTCCCTGATACATTCATATGTGCACATATATATGTGTATATAATATAGCTGCCACCTCGGCTCAAGCTCAGCACAGAGGCAGCGATCCGACGCTTCAGGATCCCCTCGCGTTTTCCCTTCCACAGCCCCCACCCCGCCTCCGATGTCTGGGCACGGGTCCTGGTGGGGGCCACCTCCAGGACTGGCCCTGAAATGCGGTGTGCCGCCCTCGTGTGCGACCCCCGCATCCTGGCGGCGCCGAGC